TAGCGCGGCGCCGCCGTGTGACGCGGGGTTGTTAACGCTGGCGGAGACGTGAAACCTGCCCGAGCAGCACCGTGCGTTCTGGGAGTCGAGCCGGGAAGCGATGAAGCTGGCAGAACTAACAAAAAAGAAACAATTTGACTGCCTTCTTTCTTTTTGCCCTCCCTTCTTCTCCCGCCGCCTTTAGAGGACCCAGCGGTACAAGAAGAAATTTCCAGAAAGGACGACAGGCTCCTCGCCTTGTTAAAAGATGTTTATGTCGAGTCCAGAGACCCACCTGCGCGGGTGAGCGTGCCTGTCTGGGGGAGGCATACTGGTTTTCGAACTCAGCACAAATTCTGTATAAAGAAAAATACTCGATTAGTGCCTAAAAGCTACCTTTTTTATAGATAAAAGTGGTGTTTTCATTACTCTTTTTATACATCAGTAGCTCTGACTGTGTTTGACCCTGGGTCTTGAACGTGTGACAGATGGTTATAAAACCTTTTAAATGCTTACGCAGTCTTCCTTCTTAACATCACGTTGACCTTAATTTGTTTTTCACCTAAATTCCCATTTCTGCTTCCTCTAAGGCAGAAGGACAGTTGGCCAGCCTTTGGCAAAGATGCAGGAGTTTGCCAGAGGTCTCTCGTAGAGTTGTTAGAAGAAAAGAGATTGAGAGTACTGTGGGAGAATGGATGTCGGTGGGGGTTGGTCTCTTCTCCCAAGTAACAAGCAATAGGACAAGAGGAAATGGCCTCAAGTTGCACTGGAGGGGGCTGAGATTGGATATTAGGAAAAATTTCTTCACCGAAAGGGTTGTCAGGCACTGGAAGAGGCTGCCCAGGGAAGTGGTGGAGTCCCCATCCCTGGAGGTGTTTAAAAGACGTGTAGGTGTGGTGCTTAGGGACATGGTTTAGTGGTGGGCTTGGCCATGCTACGTTAGCGGTTGGACTCGATGATCTTAAAGGTCTTTTCCAACCTAAACAATTCTATGATTCTATGTGGTAGAGGACAAAGACATTAACATTTTAGTGGAGCCTTTAATTACTGATGTTAATGTCGTACTATGCAGAGACTTTTCCCTGTGTGGCTGAGGAAGTGCCTTAGGTTTTTTTCTGCGTAACCCTCTGGATTGTTTGGTGATGAGTTCCCTCATTGCCAACAACTGCAGCCTTTGACTTGGAAGGCAAAGCATACCCCTTCCAATAAAATGCAGACTGGGGTTCAGTCTCTTCTTTTCCACCATGTTACGTTATGGCTTGTGCATTTTACCTGTTGCATTACTGGACCACTTTATTCCAGCTGCTTTATTCAGTAATAAAAGTTTTATAATCATCTAGCAATAAAATTCCTAAGTCTCTCCAATTTGCCACTTTCATAGTACCTTGTATTCAAGACTAAAAGTATTTAAAAATGCAAATGGATTTCTACAGTCTCCCCCTGAAGTTTCCAAGCAATCTCTATCCTTAATTTTCATAATAGAGGTTAGGACTCTAATTTGCCAAAGGTCTAATTTCACTATCTTTCAATATTCATTTGTAAGCCTGTCAAGAGAGATTTGAGGAAAAACCCAGAAGTGGAAGAAATCTTAGTGCTTGGTTCCATGCCTGCTCTGAGGTTGCTGCCACCTAAGACTTGGTCTTGTGGTATATCTACTTGCAGTTGTTAGGAAGAGCACAATTAATGTGTTAGCACAGAAGCTTCATCTAAAAGCTTCCTTCCTTTCCCGATGTTGTTCTGAACACTTTGTGCATTGTGTACGTATACACACCTATATGCATTTGGTATGTCCGTCTGTGGTAAGTGGAAAAGCACCAACTTTAAGTCCTGAAGTGACAGATATCCAGAGACAGATCACTTTATTAAGACTTGAAAAAATGTTCGTTATCTGAGCACAGTTTTAGCACAAAGTAAAAGGAAGAGATGGAGAACTGGTAGCATCATCGGACATTGTCTGTAGCTTAGAAACAGCCAGGCAGTTACAGATCCTGTAGCATCCACATCAGTTTTTCTCAGCTTGTGAGTTAATACAGAGTCTCTGTGGGCTAATCAGTGGCTGTGGACTATGATAACTTCAGAAGTACTCTTTCTTAGATTTAAGAAAGGTTTTCATTGTGTCTTTTTTTGCAGTGTCATTCACTGGTTAAATCTTAATAAAAGGCAATATGGGGAAGGCAGAGCTGGTTTGGAAATGACTTGGAAATACAAAGGGACTTGCGAGAAGAGACTTCACATGCCAGAGCACTGCAGTAGTCATGGAAATTAAACTCCATATGATGCTGCAAAATAGTTTCTTTTTGTCCAGCAAAGCCTGTTCTCTAGACAGAGCAAAAGAAGGGATATCTTTTAGTTGCAAAACTAAAATCTGAAAATGAAAGAAGGAGAGAGAGACTATATGGAAAAAGATTTCCAGTGGTATCAGAAGAAGGACACCAATTTGTAGTACGAATTTTTTTTTTTTTCCCCTTGCCGTGAATCAGTGCCAAATATTAGGTTATCTGCATTTACGTTTGGCTACCAAAATCTGCAGTTTGCCTTGTATGAAGGGCTGCTGAGTCTGTACAACGCTCAGAGTTCAATGGGTGGTAGCTTTTCAGAATTTGGGTGGGGCTTGACATCGTATGTACAATGGCTGTGGAAGAACTGACAGTTTTTGTGATATCAAGAAGCAAAGCTGGTTAAGCATTATTATTATTATTTTTAATGCCGGGAAAATGGGGAAACCTAACAGGAATATTTAGGAAAACAGCTTGGCTGCTACAGTATGCATAGTAAACAGAACTGCTGTTAAGCTCTTTTTGTTTTCCTTCCCACAATTAGGTAAAAGATGGAGGTGGTGAACATCTTCCATGTAAACAGGAGGAAAAGAGACTTACAAAACTAAGCCACTTGGGATATCTAGATGTTATGAAAGTTCCCAAAGGCAAAATTTCCATTGTGGAGGCTCTGACCCTTCTTAATAATCATAAACTTCGTCCTCAAATATGGACTGCAGAGAAAATAGCAGTGGAATACAGTCTGGAACTGAAGGAGGTCAACTCTCTTCTGGAATTCTTCATTCCTTTCACTGTGCAGGAATTTCCTAAAGAAACCAAAAAAGCTATAAACCCAACATAAAAATAATTACCAAAACTTTGCGTGATCTCACTTGTGTCTTAATTTTGCTCTTGAGTATATTCAGTGTCTGAAAAGAGTTGGTAACGTGTCATCCAACAAGGCTGCTTCCTTATACCACTAAGATGTATATTCAAGCAATTCTATTCTATATTGGATTGCTTCAGTTAAATGCAGCAATTATAGGATACAATTTGTAAACCAGAATATAACTAATGAGTTGTATGAGAGCATGTCACACGATTCTGACTATCCCATTTGTATGTCACGGGTTCAGTTAAAACATGCCAAGTTCTAGTGAGAACTTTACCTTAACAGATTGCCTTTCTTAGCAGAGACTTCCTGGCCTTCAGCTCCACCGGTGCTCTGTGTGTATTAGCTCCGTCCTTTCACGTTACAGTGTTCTTTCAAGGACTTGCTGTCAAGGTGTGTGTATGTACAAACGCTGTGTTTCTTCTGGGTAAGAACGGAAGAGTATTTATACTTTGTAAAGAAGGTTAACCACAAGATCATTTGGGAAATTCAGCTGTGTCCAACTTAAAATAAAAAGAAGGTGACTAGCAAGAAGGCCTCTTTCTGATGCTGGGACAGTAATGGCTGATGTGTAGCTCTTCTTCCGCTCTGTTCTGATTTAGCTTAAATACCTTCACCTCCCCAGGTACTGTCCGTCGGTCAGGGAGTTTGTAAAGTGTGATCATCCTCTAGCATCAGCCTTTTGCAACAGTCTGTGCCACCTGCTGGATGAGAAGTAATGCTTCGTATTACAATTAATAGGTAGCTATGAAATGCAACTGGATCTACTAATTGGACCTACTAGTAGGTCTTCTGTGAATGTCTGCCAGTCCTGTTACTATAGCCCTTTTTCGCCGTGGAGGCCGTGTCAGACTTACCCAAATGTGGGTTAGATCAGGTCACGTTCACTCACAGTAAGTTACCCACGTGCTACCAGACTGAAGATGAACAGCATCCTTTCCAACTGGGAGTAAAGGATGACACAAACTGTGAGGTGGTAACGGTGGATGGTAACCGTCTCGATACTGTGACTACTCAGGTCCGTGTAGGTGAGGAACAAGTTTTGCACTGACGATTAATGCTGTAGTGAAAACTTCACTGGTTCATGTTTTCCAGATAAGTTGGTGGGGGGATAATCAGAATTGATAGTTTAAAATGCGTTGTGGTTGCCTTCATTGCAAAGAAACAAAAACCAAAACTTAACTGTATGCGGAGCTAACATTCCTAGTGCCCATCACCAAAGGAGTTGAATTTATTAAGAGTCTGGAAGTCAGCACCAGGCCTACAATGTAACTTTCTTTTTAAGAACTTTTCTGCCAGGTTTTAGATTTCGGAGTCTGGTAAATACCTTGCCAAGAAGATGACCAGCTTTGCTATTTCACAGCAAGATTCTTCCCACTTCTCTCTCTCAGATGGAACAAGGTATTTACAGTACAGTTTGCCACAGTGTATACAAGGTTTTGCTGGGTTCATTTCTTAAGTACATAACGCTGTACCTTAGTGGAAGATGACACCTAAGTGCATTGTATAAAAATTTGAAATTGTTAATCTTTGGATGTGTGGATTGGGGATAGGCTTGTCATTCTTCCTGTAACGTAATGGGGACAGAGCTGCACTCTGAAACCAATGCAGCCGAGTTACGTACCGCATTAAGATTTTTCTGTTTTCCACAAAATACTCTGTTTTATAGAATGTTGTAACAGAAGTACTTTACTGTTTGAGTACTGTTCACCCTAATGTAATATTTAAGGTAATATTTAGCAAACAGCTGTGGAATGCATTTGGTACAGATACTGTTGTTGTTATCACTGGAGACGCTGTGATTTCCTTTAAAAATTACTCTTTAATGAGGTATTGGAGTTTATTAAAAACTCACTGCAATCGGCACCAGACAACAGCTTAACCATGCCCCTTGACTAACTTGGTATGTATTCTAGCTTCTTTCATCTGCATTTGCAAACCATTTTGTGACGTGACCACACCGTTACAGTACTCCGTTTCACATCGCAAGTCCCTCGAGGCGTGAGGGTGTGCTGCTGCTTTGCTTGCACCCTTCTGCAGGCACGTGCTGTGCAACATTTGGTGCTTATCACGTTCAGTGCTCCAGCCATACCTTCAGGACAAAATCCTGTGCGGGAGTGAGATGACTGCAAAGCTATCCCTGGGTTCTCTGGAGCCAGGATCTCGTCTTCAGAATACATTGCCCACGGTGGGGAAGCAGGCAGGTCCCAGAGCACGGAGGTGGGCCAGGGATCCATCTCCCTGGAAGGGGGTGAGCTCCCGGTGCCCCAGAAGGCTCCTCTGGAGCAGGGAACATCTCTGGCACAGCGTGTTCACTTCAGGAAGATTGGATGCAATGCAGTTCGCTGTCGGCACACAGATTCTTCTGCCAGGCAATGTCAAACCAGCATTATGAAGGCATTGCTGATGGTACGGGATCATGTAAAATCTATACCTTTATCCAAATTACCCATAGTCTGAATGTTTAGCTTTCGCTGTCTCTTCATGGAGTGTTTTACTTGCCCAAAGCTCACAAGAAGATCCAGGAGCATGGATCTTTTCCTCTTTGCTCTGGTGGGAAAGCCTGTCCCTGATCAAGCACTCCCAACACTACCGTCTTGTCCTGTTTTGGCTACCGGGCACAGGCAGCTGCAGGGTCCTTGGCAGGTGTGTGCTTAGGCTGTGCTCAAGTGAGTACGTGTTTGAAGATAGCGCTGTCTTTAGGGTTGGTGTCTGGGACAAGACTATTCTCACTGTTACATCTTTTTGGGAACTGCTTGTTTCCTTCCTTCCAGTTTCAAGGGACTCTTAACTCATCAGTTACCTTGCCTGCTTACCCGTTTCTGGTTTTGATGCAATTTCTAATCAGAATAATAATGGTATTTTCTTTACATTTCTAACTTGGTTTTGCCTGCATCCCTTTCTGTCTATATCCCTTTCCTGTAGCTGTTTGGCTGTCAGCTTAAGGAAAAGATACTCTTCAAGCAACTGTTTTGAAGAGGTAATTATGGAGAATTTGTGGGAACCTGCAATTCGAATTTCTGGTACTCACACGTGGAGAATTTTCCATGTTTTATTGCCATGCATGTGGTGCACCAAATGTAGCTCCGATGTTTTTGGCCACCATATAGAATCATTACATTTGGTAGGGAACAACCTGCCTCACTCAAACTGCTTTGTTCTTGCTGAATTGATGTAAAATGTGTAGCAAGTGTAAGCTTTGTGAGCCTGTAAGGGAGTTGTTTCGTTTCTAGTGTAGATGACACACCGTTAACGAACTTCTTTGTGTGTGGCATTATTACAGCAGTTTTCCAAATGTCACTGAATAAAGGCAGGGCCGCCTTGGGCTCTGAGACAGAGTGAGTACACGGGGCAGGCTGAGCCTCATTTGGAACTGAGGGTTGCATTCCTGGTGAGGCATAAAATTACATTTCTTCAGGGGAGTTCCAGCAGGTATACTTGAATTTTTCCAAAAAATGTCTCTTTAGGGGGAGTCTAGAAGCTCACTTACCCATGTTTTCCGAGACATAGTCCCATTCCTCTGGGCTTGTTCTATCATTATGTCTGTTCCCAGCCTTCTCTAGCCAATCTTCTCTGCTGTGAAAACTTTATGCGCTTGCACTCTGGCTCTTTACTAGCTCACATGCAAATCTCGGTTGTTTTCTGCCCTTTCAGTATCAACAGCCTGTTTTATTGCTGCAGAGCTCGCTTGCCTTCTAGGAGTAGCACATCTGCCGAGGTAGAGAAGAGAGGACTGAGCACCTGTTTTGCTCTGCAGAACTTGCGAATAGGACAGATTTTCAAAAGGATGGAGCTTTTCATACATCTTCAAAAGCTGCTCTGTTGGGATATGTGAAACTCGGTAACCTTGTGCTGTCTCACCGTGTATTCATCGTAGCTAGGTTCTTGCAGTCTGATGCCAGGACTGCAAGATTGGAGCTGTGAGGCCGGGAGAGTTTTAACTCTGCTTTCTCTGCAGGTTAGTCAGAGGGAACTTAGTACAAAAGGCGATTTTTCTGTAGCCTTCCAGCACAGGGAACTTGTCTTTTAAGCTACCTCTTTTTACTCAAGGAGAAAAGAAAATGATGTTTATATGCGAGAGGTGTGTACTAAACTTATAAAATGGATTATCTTATTTCTGTATTGAAAACTGGAGTCCAACCTCAAGTAGTCATAAAACAGGATCAAAACGCAAAAGTTTAAAAAGGCGTCTGCCTCACCTTGTTTCATCTGAGCATCGTGCTTTCATGTTTGAGATTGCGTGAAGCTTCACGTTTCACAGCTCTGCTCTGGAGCCCATTTCTAAACTGGAGTTTTCTGGTTCTTAATCTGGTGGTGCCAGCGCTGAACTGACAGCAGGGGAGTCCTGACCAGTACCAGTGAGCTTCAGGTGCAAACAGATCTTGGCACTTGAGACTGCAGCCGTCGTACGCCGACTGATGTGCTATTAGCAATCAAAAATTGTGTCGGTGCCTGTTGTTATTAAATCTGTTTCTAGCAACCTACAAGTCTAACGAATTCTGTAACCTTTCATGGTTTAGGTATTGCTGTGTTGTTATCAGAGCTAAGTGTTTTCTGCTGAAAAAAAACCACAAAAAACATGGATTAATTTCTCTTAGAAACTTGACATTAGTTTTCTTGATCTGAAACAGAGGCTTAGATTTACAGGAGGCAACAGCAGCGTTAGGTACCAGCAGCACTGCAGGAGCTCCTGCAGCTCCATGAGGCAGAGTGGGGTTTGATGTGTCTGCTGCCCGAAAGAGAATTAAAAAAATTAATCTGCCAAGGTGGTTCTATGACTGTTGTGCAAAATCCCCTTTGGGTGTGGGTTACTTCAATTGCTGAAGCTCTGTCTTTGAGTGGGATGGTTTGGCCTCCTGACGGGAGTAGTGCTGCTCTGTGACCCAGGAGGGAAGCGACTGGGGGCAGGATAGGCCCCATAATCATCTCCTATAAGGACTCCGTGCATGGGAATGGAAAATACACGGTGTCTTGTAGGACTGAGGCTCTCAGGCCACTACATTTTAGAAAGCTGAGGGAGGCGATGGTATGGCTGCAGGAATCCCTACCTTTGGAATTGTCACCCAGCGGCAGCCACACCTGTGGGAAGAAGGGATCCCACTGCTGATGAGCTGCAAATGGTGCTGATGAAAGCAAGATTTGCTCCAGCCAGGGGCTGCTGTAATTGGGAGCCTGAATGTAAAGTTGCAGCTGGA